AAGAGAACTTACTTCTCCTCCTCATCGTTGTCCCCTCCTCGTCATCTTCATGTCTTCATCCTGGTCCATTCCGCGTCCTCCTCCTCGTCCGTCACCGCATCCTTCTCCAATTCCGTGTCTTTCACCCCGTTCCCGTCCTCGTTGTTTTTTATTCATCCTTGTCATCCATGTGCTGTTCCCCGAGCAGTGCTTGCGCGCAGGGGCTCCCAGTCTTATCGATAAGTATAACAGGGGGCCGCATGCGAACCCTACCCCTAATTACCTCCCGCGATTTCTGAGGGGGAGGGTGGGGGGTTCACTTCGCTCGGGGGAGCTCCCGGGCCAAGTGAACCCCCCACCCTCCCCCTCAGAAGTCGTGGGGGGTAGGGGGTAGGGCTCGCATCTGGCCCCCTCAAAAGTATATTTGGATGGGAGAAGCGGGGCTCCGCGTGGTCGGCGCCTCGCTGGCGCCTCGCTGGCGCCTCGTGCGCTGGCTGCGTGCCGCGGTTGCTCGGGTCTTACGGGGCGCCCGCGGGTGCCCCCGGGGGCGCCTCGTTGGCGCTCGCGGGGCGCGGCGGCGGCCTGCCCCGGATGGGGGCCCGCGGTTGTCTTGTGGGCGCCTCTCCTCCTCCTCCTCCTCCTCCTCCTCCTCCGCCTCCTCCTCCTCCTCCTCCTTCTCCTCCTCCTCCTCCTTTTTCTCCTTCTCCTCCTCCTCCTCCTTTTCCTTTTCCTCCTCCTCCTCCTCCTCCTCCTCCTCGCCTCGTGCGCGCGGCCGGTGCGGAGTGGTTTCGCCCGGGAGGCGCCCTGTGGGAGCCCCGTGGGCGCCCACGGAGAGATCGCGCCACATTAGTGGCACCGCGTGGCTCGCGCCGCACGGTTTGCACCACGTCGCTTCCACCGCAATAGCCAGCACGACAGCGCCCACGCCCAGCCAGCTTGCGCACCACACATGCAGGCCATGCTCTCCTCTGGCTTCAGAGACGGCGCGGGAGGCCCCCCGACAGCCCCAAGAGAGAGTTCCAAAAGGGGCCCAACATGGTTCCCAAGGGGGGCCCCGAATTGCCCTCAACGATGTCATGCCAAGAAGACTCCTTGTTATCATATCGATTGGGGCCCTCTGGCGGCCTTCTTGGAGCCCTTTTTAGCATTTTGGGGACTCTCCTGGCTTCACCAACGGCCTCAGATGGTCCCAGGCAGCTCCAAGAGAGCTCCAAAAGGTGCTCGAAATGGTTCCCAAGAGGGACACAACAGTGCCCCGAACGATATCCGACCAAGAGCCTTTGGTATGATCTCGTTGGAGGCCCTCCTTGGGCCCTCTTCAGCCCCTTTGGGCGTTCCTGGGGATTTCCCCTGACACCCAACACGGCCTGGGAGGTCTTCAGACAACTTCAGGAGAGCTCCAAGAAGGGTTCGAGAGGGCCCCAAGAGGGCCCCTAGACAGTGGCATCCAAGAGGCTTCTTGGATGCCACTGTGGGGGTCTCTTGGGGGCCGCCGTGCCAGGCAGTCCTCCGGCCCGACGTACGTGGCAGGGTTGTGCTGGTTGCGCTGCTCATGTGCCAGCCTCTCATGCAAAGTCATCGTCTCGCCGTTCGGGGCCTGCATTTTCTGACGTCGAGCTCAGAAGGGGAACACCTGCTGAAGTTGTAGGCAATGGCATGGTCGACTTCCGACCCCTTGTTGCGGGCCTGCAATTTGCGCGAGCCACCCTCGGCCTTGGTGTTCACGGCCTGCTTCTTCTGCACCTGCTTCTCGGAATCGCACGCCCCCGAACTTCTGCGCTCCGCGGGCGTCGCGGCAACCGAGAAACTCTGGCAGGTTATTGAGGCGACTGGTCGGTCTGGCTTCGCACGAGCTGATTGTGCACTTGCAGGCCTGGGCCAGGAGGGCGACGGTCAGCGATCTTGCAAGGGGGCCCCCGTTGCCCTGGAAAAACGCCCGGAAAACTTGCCGGGAAAACTATCAGAACAAATTAGGAAAAATCCCCGGGAACAAATCCTGGAAAACAGCCCAGAAACATGCATGGAACACTTATCCGGAAATATCTCCTGGGGGAGATTTGGCTGGAGACAACCCGGAAAAAACACGAATATCTAACACCGTTTTTCCTATTACAACGCAATGAAATAATTGAGTTTGCTTTTTTACCGTCTTCTTCCGGGCGACGCGCGCTGATGGTCGGGATGGAGCGCGCCTCAGGCTTGCCCTGGGGGCGCAACCAGCGCAACCAGCGCAACCAGGGCCAGAGTAAAGCGTCAGGAAGGCCCAAAAGGGCACTGAGACAGCTCCCATGGCAGCCCCCACCGACAGTGGCATCCAAGAGGGCCCTCTGGATGCCCTCTGGATGCCACTGTCGAGGGGCCCTCTGGGGGCGCTGTGGAACCCTTCTTGGAGCTGTCCTGGGGCTGTCTCAGGTCCTGCCAGGCCGCGCTCGGGGCGAGAAGGGGCTGCCAAGAAGGCCCCAATAGAGTTCCAAGAGGCCCCCCACGAGGACCCCAAAGAGGGCCCCAAACATTATCTTACCAAGGGCTCCTGGTATGAATGTCGTTGGGGGCCCTTATGGGCCCCTCGTGGGAATTGTTTTGGGCAACCTGGAGCTTTCTCGGGGCTGTCTGAAGCCCCCCCGAGCCGCCATCGGGGCCAGAGGAGGGTTGCAACTGGGCTTCAAATATGTTCCCAAGAAGGCCTCCAACGATATCACACATGAGTTCTCGTGGTACGAGAACAGTTCGGGGCCCTTGCGGGACTCTTTCTGGGTTCCTTTTCGGCCATTGCTGGAATTCTCTTGGGACTGTCTGGGGCTCTGCTGTGCCGTCGTTGGGACCAGATGAGAGCCAGGCTATTCCGTGTGGCGCAGGCTATGGGATTCGAGCCACGTGTTGCCAGCTATGCGGCGATACCTGAGTGGTGCAAGCTACAGCCAAGTCGCTGAAACGAGGAACCGTCTGGGTAAGAAAGGGGCTCGATGTTCCTTGGGTCCCTCTATATGGCTTTTCCTCTAGCCTTCCTCGTGCACGCAGGCGCTTGTGGGGCCACAAAATCACCACCTACCAAACCACCCCAACCCAACCCGAAGGCCTCAATTTGCCTTCCATTTCCAGTGTGGGGGGGGGGGTCGGGGAACGTTGAAAAAACACATGGAACCCTTACCCCCCCAACCCGAAATTCGGGTCAAATTCGGGTCTTCGGGTTGGGTTGGGGTGGTCTGGTAGATAGTCAAAAAGGGGCTTCGTGCCCTGTTCCTCGTTCCTCCTCCTCAGCGGCCCGACCGCATGGGGTGCAAGCTACAGTGGTGCCCTCGGTGTGGTGCGAGTCCTGTGGGTGCCCACGGGGAGCCCTCGGGCGCCCGCCGGGCGAAGCCCCGCCGTCCAGCCTGCGCGCGAGGCGCGCGCGAGGCTCCCGCGGGGGGGCCCACCGGGCGAAGCCCCGTCGCACCTGCCCAGCGCACGAGGCGCCCACGAGGCTCCCGCGGGTGCCCACGGGGCGAAACCCCACCGTGCCCACCCAGCGCCTGAGTCGCCCTCGAGGTGCCCACGGGCGTCCACTCGGCGAAGCCTCGCCGTACCCATCCAGTGACTCATCAGGAGAAGTGCGACTCCTCGATGCAAGCATTGTTTGAGGAATAATGATTTACAGCGTCACGATTGTCGTGTGATTACGTGCCCCGCCATGCGGAGCACGCTGGCAGGCTTCCGTGGGTGCCTGGGAGGCTTCTGGGTGCTTTTTAGAGGCTTCTGAAGGACCTCTCGGGGCCGCTTGGGGGCCTCTTTGGGGCTCGCGTGGGGCTCGCGTGGCCTCGCGTGGGGCTCGCGTGGGGCTCCGTGGGGTCGCGTGGGGTTCGCGTGTGGCTCGCGGGCCCGCGTGGGGCCTGCGTGGGTCGTGCTTGAGGCTCGCGCGGGGCTGACGCGGGGCTCGCGTTGGGCTCGCGCGAACTCCGCGCGAGTCCGGCAGAGCCTGGCGCAAGCCCCGCGCCAGTCCCGCGCGACTCCGACGGAGCCCGACGCAAACCCCGCGCGAACCCCGCGCGTGACCAGCGTGGACACAGCGCAGGGCCCGCGCGAACCCCGCCGTGTACCGCTGCTTTCCGGTGCATAGACATGAACAGCCGCGTGCCTCCAGCGATAGCCGCTTTATACTCGCCATTTGTCGCGAGCGCTACTTGAAGCAGCGGCAGCGTTGACGAGACCGAGTGGCAATGAGCATGCGCGCGCGCCCGTTGCAGACGCAGCGGCGCGCGTGCATTCTGGTGGCAAGCTGGCCGCGTTGAGGCCAGCGCCGACCCTCTGTTCAGGGGGCCATCGCAGCGCGAAATGTGGCTAATTGCCTCCCGCGCACCTACAAACCATCAAATCCTTTTTTTAAGTGCAATTATTTCTAACATCCTGTGAGGTGGTTGGGGAGCCCGACAGCGTGTCGCTGATGCCGCCGTAGCGACACGCGAAGCAAAAGTTCCCGACCGTGACGTGGCCGCGCTCCGCGCTGAGCGGCCGGAGCCAGGGAGCCGCCCTTCTCTCCAGGAAGGCGGCGCGAGGGCGCGAAGATGACCTCGCGTCGTGAGGTGCGAAGCGAGAAGTTCCGCGACCTTATGTCCGCAGGGGTCCCCAGAGGTCCCCAGAAGGTCCCTGGAGGTTCTTGGCCTCCAGAGGCTTCCAGGGCCCAAGGAGGGCTCACAGCGCTCCGAAGTCTCGGCCTTCGATCCTCGGACCCCCGTCGACGAGGAGATCCGTCCAAAATCTGGTCAGAATCAGTCCTCAGACCCCTCCTGGGGTCAATCCTGGTTAGTTTTTCGAGCTGCGTTCGGCAGTGCCGACGAGAGCCCCCAGAAGCAGTGGAACGCAGTGAAGCAACGTCGTTCGTCGTTGTCGGCGGCAGAATCCGAAGCCTACGCTCGCCGATCAACGATTCAGGCAACTCGATGGGCGGCGGGGGTGGGGTTCGGATGTCGCCACCTACCGTCGTCGTCGCTACCGTCGTCGTCGTCGTCGTCGTCGTCGTCGTCGTCGTCGTCGTCGTCGTGTGGAAGGCGCGGCTGCGGGCCTCGAGGCGCCTGCGAGAGCGGCGGAGGCCGCGCCCGCGGAGGCGCTGCTGGCCGGCTGGCTGGGCCTCCTCGCCGAGAGCGCTTCGAAGCCGCGGCTGCTCGACTTGCGGGGGGCCTGCGGCGAGGCGGCGGGACTTCGCCGTCGTCACCGCCGCCGCCGCAGCTTGCCGCTTGCCGACTGCTGCTGCTGCTGCTGCCGCCGCTTGCCGCGGCCGTCGCGGCCGCCGCGCCGCCGCCGCCGCCGCCGCCGTCGTTGTCGTCGTCGTCGCCGTCGCCGTCGTCGTCGTCGTCGTCGTCGTCGTCGTCGTCGTCGTCGTCGTCGTCGTCGTCGTCGTCGGCGTCGTCGTCGTCGTCGTCGTCGTCGTCTTTGTCATTGTCGTCGTCGTCGTCGCCGTCGTCCCCGAATTTCGATCGAAGATCAATGCTCGAAGGTTTTCCCCCATTTTCTTGAGTGTTGGGTCCTTGTTTTGAATCAGCAGCGCCGCGCGTCTCCTTCTCTATCACTTCCTCATCATCGTAGTGGATTGATAGATTATCAGACAAAGGCATGTGTTGCATAGAAGTTGTCAGGGAATGCAGGGTTGCGCTGGATCCGCTGCCAGTTGCATGGGTCCCTTCGCGCGCACTCTATTATACAACATACCGCTTCCCATCGCTTTGCATCCTGAGAAAGAGTCTATTATTGTCCTCTCGCTCTACATAGCAATTGGTGGCGGAACATCTTGCTCCACCGCCATGCTCGCCGCCTCGGCCCGCGAGGCTTCTCTCCGTGCCAGTGGCGACCGTTCTACGTCGATTGCGACATCCCGCTCAACATCCCGCTCTCCACATTCCGCTTCACCATCGTGCTGTTCGTCTTTCTCGCCGCGGCAGGCGGCGCGCCTCGAGGGGCCATCGGGGCCACCCCGGCCCAGCCGCCAGGACTGGCGCAAGCGACCCAACACGACTACTTCCACGAGTTCATCAATTACAAGGAAGGCGCCTCCCGCGCCCCGGGTACCCCCTTCCGGGCACTTTCGAACTGTGTTCGAGATGCTCGGGTCCGAGATGCTCGGGGGCCCTTCGTCGTCACAGCGTTCGCTTGTGAGCGCGGCCGTCAGCGTCAAACCGTCGAACGAATTGATTTCCACGTTCACAGTGTCGGCACAGAGCCCCGAGCTACGCGTAACTGTGTTGCGGAAGCCCGAGGGGTAAGAGGACAAGGGCGCATCGCCTTCATTGCGTCCGCGTGTGGGTGTAGCCAACAATGTCGAGCAGTCGTTCGATCCGACGCTCACATCGTCGGTGTCGGCAGAACGTCCCGAGTCAGCCGCAACCACGTTGTGGAAACCGGGGTGGCACATGCAAGCAATAGCGGGAATGCAAAGGAGGGTCGGGCAATTGTGCTGCCATCCTTCCGGGGAACTATTACACAAGCTCGGGACTATTCGCTATCCGTTCTCCGGGACATGGCCTTCAACGTTACCTGCGCGCTGTTTGCTTCTCGTCAGACCTGGATCCCTTTGCGTATTCTTCTTGACTGCTGTGCAATCGGCAGTGCGCAGTGCACTGACAATACGACGTGCGACGAGTTCTCTCACCACTATGTGGCGGGGTGCTCCGAGTGCAGCCCACGCGCCAATCGAACGACAAAACAATTGACCCGATGCGCTGATGATGAGGAAGAACGCACCAGGGACAGATACCCGCGGCGGCTTCGAGTATCACCATCAGAACACCGCCGTTGGTGGGTGCCAGGAGCGCCGCGCCTCCTCGACACCTGGGGGGGGCCCCACTCTGGATGGAACGCCATTGGAGTGGGCGCGGTCGCTGCCATCAGCTGAAGGTGGTGGCGGCAGCGGCAACGTGCGCCACCTCGGCACTTGGTGGCCAGAGCAGCGAGCTCGCGTGCTTTTTTCAGCGCTGGGTGCGGGGGGAAGATGATGTGGTCAGTGGCGAACTCCGACCTCAACGAACTCCGCCCAGCGGCCCACTTGGCCGGCGTGGCTCGCGAGTGCGCGGGCGAGTGGCCGCCGGTGGTCTTCGCCCGAGGTATTCGCGCCAGCGGCGCGGCAATTCGGCGCCGCGCATGACGTGCCTCACGCGCAGTCTGGCCCAACGTTGGTGCCAGTTCGGAGATGGGGGGCGCGCGCGCAGGCAGCGTCGGCTTCGATTAACTTCGACCAAATGCCGCAGGAGCGCATCGACAACTTCCCCGCGAAGTTCGACATCCGCCGCGACGGGGCGCAGCAGGCGGGTCAACTCATAATCGGCTGCGAGGCCCTGAGCTACCTCTTGCTGCGCGCGGTGGGCGCGTCGAACGTTGAGTTCGCTATCACCCGGCAACGCTGCGACGTGGCCTGCCCGACGTGCGCGCCGCAGCTGGCGCGCGTGATGGGCCAGCTACGTAGATTTGGTCATGTGATCGGAGGGTCGCCGGGCAATCTCGCCTCGGCCGTGCGTTCGTCGCAACGCTGGGCGTTCCTCGCGGGTGCGTCCGCGCGCGATCAGGATCCGAGTGCCTCTGGCGCTGACGCCAGATCGAGCTGGGATGGCGCGGGCCCTTCAGCCCTGCAAGATCGGCGCCGCGTCCGCCCGCAGCGCCGGCTGCCGCCGGTGCAGGCCCGGAAGCGCCGTGGGCGGCAAACCCACTGGCAGGTTTTGCCTCTGGTGCTGGCTCCCGCGCCATCAGCTCATTCAGAAAGGAGAGTCGCTGCCTACGACTACTCCGGGGCGCGTTTCAGGCGTCCTTCGTGCGACTCAGAGGAGCGCCTCGTGCGCGACTGTCCCCGTCGGCGCCGGCAAGGTCGCGGCCAGTGCCCCAGCTTCAGCAGTGCCCGCGCCGCCGGCGCCCGCACCCTCGCCACTTGCGCGGCTGGGGCGCCGCGAACTGCCTGGGCTTGCTGCTCAGTGGCCCGCGCCGGTTGCCCACTTGGTCTGGGTGACCAGAGGGACTTGCGGGGTGCCCGAATCTGTGATTCTGGGGCCCGACAGTGGTTAACCCACGCAGAGCGCCGATGCTTGGAATGGCGGCCGGCCGTCTCCAGCATCGGCAACTCCGCGGCTGGCGCCAGCAGCGGCAGCTCCCAGTGCTTCGTCCGGCGGCTCCTGGCAGGCAGTTGGCCAGAGCCATTGGTCACATTGGGTGGGTGTTTTATGGTCTTCATCAGCGTCGCCCAACCCCCATGCGGCCGAACTCGCCAGGAGATGGGCGACCTCGTGGGGCGCGTGCGACGAGGCTCTGCTCAGCCGACGGACAGGGCAATTATGTTGCCAGTCCGCGCGGCAGGAGTGGGGGGCGCAGCGGCTGCGGCGCCCGCGGCATCCGCAGCGCCGCCATCGCCGTCGCCGTAGGGCTGGACCAGAGTGGCCAGTGTTTTCTCGCTGGGGCCACAGCGTGGGCGCGACTGGGTAAGCGACATCAATGCCCGAGCCGCAGCGCCAGCTGCCCCGCCTGCCGAAGTGCAGTTCCGGCGCCGGAGTTTCCTAGCAATCTGGCCCTCTTCGTCCGGCGCGCCCCCGTTGACGTGGGCCAGCCATCTGGGAGAGTGGCCGCGTGGTTCGCCGGCCGAGACGCTTGTGTGTCCAGTGGCGTGCGATCCGAACGCGGAGGAGGCTCCGCGCTCGGCCGCGCGCAACGACGACGCGTCGACGGGCTCCACAGCTCCCAGCTAGCACTCGAGCTCTTACGACAAGAGGACGAGCCCCGACGACGAGCCGCGCAGAGGTGGGCCGAAACCCTTACTAATCCACCTCCTGTGCTGGCTGCCGCACCAGCTGCACCCTGCGTCGCGGTCTTCGTCGGCGACGACTGGGAATGTCCTGTCTGCATCGTGGCCTTCGTACATGGTGATCGAATTTCATGCCTGCAGTGCGCCGCATCTTGCGCCGGGCATGCCGCCTGCGGCTCATGCAGAACACCGACGCGCGCCTGGCGCGCTGCCTGGCGCGCCGCGCGCGGCCCAGCCGACGTCGTCGCCGATTTCCGATTCATTGGTGTAGATCGTGCTGCAGCGGGCTGGGCCCGCGTGGCAGACCCTGGTGCCCCGGGTCCGGCACCTGCGGCGCTGGCCCGACCGATGCCGGACGACGGCGTGCCACAGGAGATGCCGCCGCAGCGGGGCACCGCCCAGACTCCTCGGCTCGCGCCGACACCTCTGCACTCCGCGGCAGGACGGCCTCCTGGCGGCGTTTCCAGTTTGGCGTCCACTGCCGACGTAGCAGTGCCATGCAACGCCCGCCTGGACTTGCGCGCCCCGCCGCGCCGACCGACGAAATTCCGGCGGTGGCCGACCTCGTCGGGCGCAGGCCCCGCCCGCGTGCGTCCCGGTAACCCAATTTGGCGTTTTCATTCATTCAGTAGAGCGCTTCACGGCCCCGTACGGAGCTCCACCGAGGCCCTCAGTGGGGCCGTCCGCGCGCGCCCCGGAGACCCAAGTCGGCGCGCCGCCCGCGCAGTGCAGCGTTCCCCCCCGCCCAGTGCAGCGCTTCGCGGCCCCATAGGGGCTTCGCCGAAGCAGATATTGAACATTGCGGTGCCCGCAACTGCATATGTTTGGGGCCTTCGCCAGGATTTTGGTGTTTTGTATTCCTCCTCCTCCTTCTTCCTCCTCCTCCTTCCCTTATTTCTTCTGTTGGAGTTGTCCAGGTCGCCGAAGGAATCCTATTGCTGCCCCGAGGGATCTTATGGATTTCCAAGGGAATCCAATGGTTTTCTGAAAGGAGCCCATGGGTGTACTCGGGGATCCTATGGCTTTCCTAAGGATTCAGATATGTGTTCTGACAGTGTCCGATGGCTTTCTCAAGGGGTCCCATGGCTAGCCTTGGGAGTTTTTTGGATGTCTGTAATTTTCCTGTAGATGTCCTAAGGAATCCGATGGATGTTCCAAGGAGCCCGATGCATGTCCTAAGTGTTCCCATGGATTTCGGAAGGAATCATGTTTGGAATTTATAGGAATCCTGTGGGCTCCCGAAGGAGTCTTAATGATTTCCTGAGGGATCCTGAGGACTTTCGGTGGACTATGGATTTCCCAAGGCATCTTGTGCGTTGTCTGGGGGATTCCCATGAATTTTCAAAGGCATCTTATGGATTTCTGAAGGGATCCGATGGATTTCCGAAGGAATCTTACGTATTACCTCCGGAGTCGCATGGATTTCCAAATGAGTCCTTTGGACTTCCGGAGGGATCTCATGGATTTCTCAAGGAATCCGAAGGATTCCCGATGGAATTTTCGAGCCCCGCAGGTCACGGTCGAGCAGGACTACAAGTTCTCCGAGCCAGCAAAACGAGACTGGCGCATTCGCAGGTCTAGGCCGTCTAGATGGTATCCGAGCAGATGGGGTCGGAGGATCGCGTCGCCGACGCGTCGCGGATGCGGCTCGATGTGGAGCCCGTCTTTCTCCGCGCTGACATCGCCGATGCGTCGCCGACGTCGCCGATGCATGGCCATTGCGTGGCCGATGGGCCCCCGATGCATCGGCGATGCCGCGCGATCTTCCGACCGCATCTAATGGGGGCCCCATTGAGGAGGCCTTGCAGGGCACCTTGGCGCACCGAGCTCACCTAGCAGTGCGCGATCATGAGCTGCGAGCAGACCAAGAAGGGCGACGCCGTCTAGCTGGTCACGGTGAACGCGCTGCTCGGCGAGATCGAGGAGCGCGCGGGCGCCCCCGGGAACGTTCTGGCGATGGGGCCCACGGTGGCCGTCGCCTGGGCCCGAGGCCAGGGCGAGAGCGAGCCCGCCACCCAGCAGCCCGAGTGGCAGAAGCGCTGGGCCGAGAGTCGAGGTGTCCAAGCAGGGGGCGGGCGCGGCCGTCGAGTGCCGCGACGCCCTCAAACAGCCGCCCGAGAACGCCATGCAGGCCGCCGCGAAGATCGCCCGAAAGCTCGGCGCCCTTGGCCCTGCCGAGGAACGCGTTGCGAGCGGCGACGAGAATTTCCAAGCGGATGGCTGGACTTGCGGGCTCTGGGTGACGAGGTGGGTCGAGCGCGCCTTGCGCGAGATCCCGGGCGAGGGCCGCCAGCCGCCCATCGGCGTCGCCCAGGCTCGCGCTCGAGGCAACAAGTGGATCCAGATGCTGCAGGGCGCGAGCGACAACCGATCCGCCACGGCCAAGGCCAAGGTCAAGGCCGGGAGCAAGGGCATGGCCAAGCCGCCGAGTGGCCCGACAGCGCCAGGGCCCAGGTACGGCAGCTTCGAGAAGGCGCAGGCTGCCGCGCCAGCGTGCGCGAAGTGCCTACCGCGCAAGGGCGGCCCCATCGGGTGCCGGGCCTGCGTGGGCGAGTGGTTTGAGCATGTGCGCAAGAGAGGTTCCTTGGCGAGAACTGCCAAAGATCTCGAGCTCTCAGGCAAGCTCTAGAAACCAACTCTCGCCGAGCGCCCAGAGCGTGGAATCATCGTCTTCACCATCTTCAGGCCTCCCGTATTTTTCCATTGAAGCCCTTTGGAATCCCAACAAGGAATCCGATGGATTTCCTAAATGATCTCATGGCTTTCCGGAGGAATCGACTTGCTTTCCTTTGGATTCCAGTGGATGTCCTAAGGGGCCCCGTGGAATTCCGACGGACTCTAATCGATGTCTTTAGGATTCCTATGGTTTCCCACTGGAATCTTATTGGTGTCCCATGGGGCTCTATTGATTTCCATGGGGATCTAGGTTTTTATGCTTGTGTTTGTATGTGCTGTCTATACGCCCTCTTCTCCTTCTCATCCTCCTGCGCGCTGGACAATTTGCTTACGGGTACCCTCACTGAGCCCGACGCTTGTGCGGGTCGTTTCCGGCCCGCCGCCGATGAACAAGTGTGTGTGTGGTGTGTGTGTGTGTGTGTGTGTGTCTGTGTGTGTGTGTGTGTTCATGTGTGTGTGTGTGTGTGAGTGTGTGTGTGTGTGTGTGTGTGTGTCTGTGTGTTTATGTGTGCGGTCGTGCGTGCGTGCGTGCGTGCGTGCGTGCGTGCGTGCGCGCGCGTGTGTGTGTGTGTGTGTGTGTGTGTGTGTGTGTGTGTGTGTGTTGTTTGTTATTATTTACGCTGGCGGTTCATTGATTCCGACTCCTTGATGCAGTCATTGCTACAAGAACTCGGGTGGGTATGGGGCTACGCTGCGATAAGCTCCACCTGATACAACGTAGCTGCAACAGTGACATCCGGTTCCCATCGACAGTCAGACAGGAGTTCCAAAGGTCATATGGTCCTATGGTGTAGTTGGGAGCTGCTCGGTATAATTCCTGCCGCATCATTGCCAAACTCAAGTGGCGCATCGGGGCCGCCCGACGGTAGCTTCCAAAATCTTACAAGGCATGGGGCCACACGTCGTTCGAGTAGTTTGCGAGCCTGGCCGGCGCGCTTGCGCATGTGAGTGTGAGTTGTCTGTTTCGTTTCTTCGCCCTCCCCTCCCATCCCCCCCTGCCTCCTCGTCCTCCTCCTCCTCCTCCTCGACCTGCTTCTCCTTGATGATGTTGTTTTGGGTTAGTTGTCGTCGTTTTTTGCTCAGACTTCTTCCCCCTTTCACCCAGCCGAGATTTCATTTGGTTGCGCTTCGATCTTGATTCCAGGATTCGTTAGACTCCTGAATCAAGGTTGTTGCTCCTTGTTCTCCTCCTCCTGATCCCTCTCCTCTTTCCCTTCCCCTCCTTATCCTCCCCTCCTCTTCCTTATCCTCCCCCCGAGCCAGGGCAACGTTTCACCTATTTCCTGTCGTGACTGCTTGAGCCTGATTTTTTTGCCTGCGCTTCGGGCGGGGCGGCGTACGGATTGTGAGTGAGTGAGTGGGTGGGGGCCCCCTTTCCGCGTGGCCACGTGGTTGCGGCTGGACGCGGCTCGAGACACTGGTCGGAACCGTGTCCTGGATGGAGGGATCGGGGAACGATTTGGAGCGAAAGTGGCCTTCGGCCGCCTCGGGCCATGGCGCCAGCAGAGATCACCCCACGGTTCAACCTCCGCACGAGCTGCGGCATCGACGGCTCCTGGGAGCCCCGGGGGGAGGGTCGGCCTGCCTGGATTTCGCGGGCCCCCTGGAGGCTTCCAGGAGGCCCCAGGAGCCCAGAGGTCTAGGCCTCCTGGGAGGGGTCCGAGCACATGGGGTCGGAGGATCGCGCCGCATCGCCCATGCATCGACAATGCGGCTCGAGGGGGAGCCCGTGTTTCCGACGTCGCCGATGCATCGCCCACACTTCGGCGATGCATCGGCGATGCGGCGCAAGCCTTCGACCCTATCCAATCGGCTCCCATCTAGAAGGCCTCTGAGAGGGGTCTCGAACTCCTCCCCCCCCCAGGTGGAGCAGTGGGCGGTCGTGGAGCCCGCGTCGGGCCGGGTGGCCTGCAGGCTGACCCGGGAGCAGGCCGGGCGCCTCGCCGCGCTCGCCACCGCGAGCCTCGCGGACGAGGGCCTGCTGCGCCGCGTGGCGGCGGATGGCCGGAGTGCGGCGCGCGCCGTGGCGAGTGCGGAGAAAACTGGGCGTCCTCGGGTGCCTCCTCACGGGTTCCTGCGGCCCCTGTGTGCGGGGGGGAGGCGGGGAGGGGAGGGGCAGAGGGAGGGGGAGGCGGGGATTCGGCGGCCGACGGTGCGGATCAGAGCGGATCCTGCTCCGCCCTGGAGCTCGAAGAGCTCTCGGCCAATCCAGGCGCGCCCTGTCGGCGAAGCGAGAGCTGCTGGTCCCCTGGGGGGAGCACAACACCTCGGGTCATTCCCCCAGGCCTGTCCTGGGCGGCATCGGCACGAACACTAAAGTGGCTTCCCAGTAGGGGGGTGCCTGGACTCACGCAGTCTTTTGGGCCTTCCTCTCTGCGACCACTGCGTGCAAACACACCTCCCACAGCTTCAGCAGGACGCGACGTTCAGACGGACCATGAGCTGGTGTCCTAGCTGCCGCGTTTTTTTCCACCCTCTCCCCGACCACCCCCGCCAGCTCCCGTGCCCCCCTCGCTTCCCTGTCACTTGGCCAGAGTTCAGGGGGTCTGGGGTGGTTCGAATCCTGTGGACTGGAGCCTTCGGACGTGTTCACGATCTCACGGCGAGGAGGAGGCGGTGGAGGAGGAGGAGGAGGAGGAGGAGGAGGAGGAGGAGGAGGAGGAAACGGAGGATGAGGCCGGGGGCTCCCAGAGGTCTCCAGTGGTCTGGAGCTCCCCTTTGCAACAAGCTCTGGAGGCCAGACAGGATCAACATTAGACACCGCCTCGATCCTCGGTCGGGGATCGAGTATCGGAGATCGGAGGAGCAGGGGCTACATGGGGCTGCAGTATACGGCGAGTGCCCTCGCTTATCAGCGCAAGAGACCAGCACTGCTTGGCCTCGAGCAGCACCTGCCACTCACGTTCGAACCGGCACGACTCTCCGATTCAAACGGCGGCATCCCGCTGCAGAAGACATTGCCCAGATGCGCCCTATACTGTAGGTACATGGCAGCACCCTCCTGCAGCAATCGTGCCTGCACGCTAGCCGAACTGCGGCCCCCGGCTTGCTCCCCCTTTTCCGAGACCTTAGGGGGGAATCCGCATCATCACCAAATCTTTTGTTTGAGCGGATTATGGGTGACGATTTTTGAATTAGGATATTTCAGGCCGCGTTTTTTTGTGTATTGTATTGTCTGGGATAAGGAAGGTGACGCGCGCGTCGAATTATTCGTTCGACTGTGAGGAATTGCTGGAGATGCCAGAGTCGCCCGTTTCGTCAGACACGGTTTTTGCAGTTCAGGTCGCCAAGACACAATTTCGTCTCCTCGCCCTGGTTCTCTGCGCATTCCCCGCTGTTGCCCCCTTGCCGCGCCGCGGGGGCCCCTCGCGCACGACTGCCCAACAGGAAAGCGAACGCACCCATGGCCGTTCAGAAGAGGGCGATGCGCACACAGCAGCATTTCCGTCGACATCAGTCATCTGGCTATGTCTGCGCCAGCACCTGCAGCGGTGCCTGCCCAGAGTACCTCTCATCGGTCTGCTCCCGGAGTGCTGCCTCGAAGGTGGGGCCGATCGCCCCTCCTCCAGGCCGATCGCAGACATCGGATATTTTCATTTGCTAATTGATGGTGCGACGCAGCAGCGTGCTTGCGCAATCCCACTCGGATGCGCAGCTTCTCCTCGTGTCGCGTCACCCCGCGATGACATGCTAGAGGATCTCGGGTAACTTCCTCGGGTCGTCTCCAAGAGCACCCGCGAAGCTCTTTCCTCGGCCCTCCCCCTCCCTTCGCTCTTCTCCTTCCTTCCTCCTCCGCCCCCACTGGGCTCCGCCATCTTCCCGCCCCCGTCCGGCGCCCGAGACCCCCGTGGCGCGCCCGGGACCCGTCGCGCCCAAAGAAGCCGCGGCCTTGGCATTCGCAGCGGGCTTCGCCGCAGGTTCCGCCGCGGCGGCCGCGGCCTCCGCGCGCGGCCGCGGGCGGCCTCCATGCAGGGGCCGCGGCCGGCGAGGAGACTGCCAGCGCAGTCGAGCCGAAAGGGGGGGGGGCGTACCGTGGAACGTCGCGACCCGATTCGCCCTGGGTCCGCAGGCGAGATGCGCGGGCGAGGAGGTGGGCCCCCTCAGCGCGCAAGGCGGCGCGCCGAGCGGCGCGCTAAGAGCGGTGCGCTAGACGGCGCGCTAAACGGCGCGCTAAGCGGCGAGCTAAATGACGCGGTTGAACGGTGCGCTAAGCGGCGCACTGAATGGCGCGCTGAACGGCGCGCTCAATGGGGCGCTGAGCGGCGAGCTGGCGTCTGCGGTGAGACGCGACCATGAGCGCGCCGTGCCGCTCGGCGGGCGTCCGGAAACCGACGCGGCGCTAAGTTGTGGGCTAAGTGCGTTAAGTGCGCCGTTACATTTTTCTTTCTGACTCAGCGTGTAAGTGCAGCGGCGCATTCAGCCCGCAATTCAGTGCGATAAACAACCCAGCCTGCCACGTCTGCCTCGCGCCAGGCTGGCGAAAGCTCAGGTGCAGGATTGCCCGGGGCCCAGTCGAGCCGGGGGAAGGCTCGGCGCCGACCCCGGCAGAATTGGGGAAGAAACGCCGCGGACCGCGCGAACCGAGCACAGGCCCCGCGCAAGCTCGCGGCCCAAGGCCGCGCAAAAGGGCGCCCTGAATGGCGCGCTGAATGGGTCGCTAGTCGGCCCGCTAAATGGCGCGCTAAACAGTGCGGTTAATGTCGCGCTTAACGGCGCGCTGGGCGGCGCGCTAAACGGCGGGCTAAACAGCGCGCTGAACTTCGCGCTAAGCGGCGCTCTAAATGGCCTGCTAAACGGCTCGCTGAACACCGCGTGGAACGGCGCGCCTTTGGCGCCAGCTCTTGGCCGCCTGAGCCATGCGCGGGCGCGCCGCGGCATTTTGCGCGCGCCCCTGAAGGGGCTAGCCTTTGCAGATGCCTGTTCGAAAAAGGCGGGCCCAGGAGGGCTTCCGTCGCCGTTTAAGGCTCTCTTCGAACCCTGGCGGGCAAGAAGCGCCTTGGGACAATCCCAGACTACGTCAAAGACGCACTCGGTACCCCGCCCCAGGAGCGACCAGTGCAGGCCCCGAGCAGGCGACGAGTAGGCAGCACCAGAGAAGCCCTTGGAACGCTTTCCGAGAAATTCAGGTCAAGCCAGCGAAAACCGCGAGGCGGAACCTCTCGCCAACGAGGGCGAAAACGCCTTTCCGCTCGCCCATTGCCTGCGCCCCCAAACAGCCCTTGTATGCTTGCGCGGCAAAGCTGAAGTCCCTCTAAGGGGCTAATACCTCTGCGTCGAATCCTCTTCCCGGCGCGTCGCGCGTCGCGGCGGGCGCGCTGGCGGGGGCGGAGGCGGCGGATGGGGTGGGCAGGATTGGTGGGGCGATTGGATCGGTGGGGGCGCGGGGGAGGGGCGGCGCGGGGGCGGGGGGAGGAAACGCGTTGTGCCTTTGCCTTCACTTGCGGTCGTCCTGCCCCTGTCGCAGTGCATTTTTCCCTTGTCTCCCTGGCGCTCCTCCCAGCCTTTTCCCGTCGCCCGCCGCCCGCTGCCCCGTGGCTCCGTTCCTCCTTCGCGTGCCGTCCCTCTTCCCTCGCCCGTCGCCCGCCCCCCTGCTTTCCGCCTGGTGAACTTTCTTTCTGCGCAGTCATGTCGAGCGCGGCGGCGTCGCCGCCCGCGGCGCGCTGGAAGATCAATTGCGCGGTGTGCCACAGCAAGGGCCACTCCAGAGAAAACATGGCCACTCGCCGCCAGGGAAGCGGCGCGCGAATAGCCGTTCTACGCGCACTCGCTTGCCCGGATCTTCAGTGACCGCCCTTCAGAGGAGTAATAATTTTGAAAGTGGGCCGAAGTTGCAGCCAATTCTTGCTCGCCGCTCTGGATCCAGTCAGGGGTGGCTCGCTCGGGTTCCTGCTGGCCGGTCTCTGAAGCGGCGCTCGATGAGTCGTCCTCTTGGCGCAGTCGTTTCCCGATTCGGCTTGACATGTTCGCGTGGGCTGCGGGGCGCGAGCAGGGCGCCGCGCCTGTGCGATAGTTCGCGCCGATTTCTGGGGATGGCCCAAAAGAACGCCCGCGCGCGCGAGGGGCGGGCATTCCTATCGCATCCCGGTGCGCTTTCGGCACCGCCCCCCGCCGCCCCTAGAATCCCAGCAAAGGGGAGAGCAGCCGCTGCCAAGCTCGCCAAAGCTGAAACTGCACACGCGGCCGCCGCGCCGCGCTGCCGTAGTCGCCGGACTCCGCCCAGGTGGTCCGGCTTGAGCGGGTCCGCCACAACCCGCGCCGTGGTGCCGAGCCTGCTCCCCGCCGGCCGGGCCAGCTGCCCCCGCCGCGGGGCGCGGCTCGCAATCCTCCGCGCAGGCGCGCGGAGGCGGGAGCAGACCGCGGCGAACCGGTGCGCTCCGTTTGACATCAGCGGGCGGGCTGTGGCCCGCTCGGATATGAGAGTCTTCTGCCCGTATGCTCAAGAGCTCTTCGAGTCGAAACGTCAGCGGCGAGACAGATGACGGCAGCAGCAGTAACGAAACGTGGTGACAGTGTCGCCTATCCCTTAGGATTTCCACGGAGGAGGAGGAGGAGGAGGAGGAGGAGGAGGAGGAGGGAGGAGGAGGAGGAGGAGGAGGAGGAGGAGGAGGAGGAGGAGGAGGAGGGAGGAGGAGGAGGGAGGAGAGGAGGAGGAGGAGCCGCCGCCGCCGCCGCCGCCGCCGCCGCCGCAGCAGCAGCAGCAGCAGCAGCCGCCGCAGCAGCCGCAGCAGCCGCAGCAGCCGCCGCAGCCGCAGCCGCAGCCGCAGCCGCAGCAGCAGCAGCAGCAGCAGCAGCAGCAGCAGCAGCAGCAGCAGCAGCAGCGCAACCCTCAGGCTAGCGGCGGCGGGCGGCGCCTCGGAGAGGCCGCGCGAGCGGCTGGCCGCTCCGGGGACAGGGTCCAGCGTGGCCCTCAGTGCGTGCCTGGATCCGCCGATCGGGGCCGCCATGCCGTGAGCACGCCTCCAGAGGGAAGTACAGGAGGGGAGAGAGAGAGAGAGAGAGAGAGAGAGAGAGAGAGAGAAAGAGAGAGAGAGAGAGAGAGAAAGAGAGAGAGAGAGAGAGAGAGAGAGAGGGAGGGAGTGAGGAGGGGAGGGAGGGGAGGGGCGGAGAGGGAAGAAGGACAAGGAGAGGGAGGGGATGGGGAGGAGTTGAGGGAGGGGAGGGAGGGACGGGGGAGGAGGGAGAGGCACCAGTTCAGACGACCAGGTCTGGTCCAGGGCCCTAGTTGTTCCTAAGAACGCCGGGGGCGTTTTTTTTTTTTTTTTTTTGGTGTGTTTTTTGTTATTTTGTTGTTTTTGGGGTTTTTGTTCTCTGTTGTTGTTGTTGTTGTTGTTGTTGTTGTTGTTTTCTTTATGGGGAAAATGTATACATATAAAACATCTATATACATTTACATATATATATATATATATATATATGCATATACTTGTTTTTGTCCGTTTTCCACTTTTGGGGTTGCGATCAACAACAACAGAAACAGAACGGTGGCCCGAAACGAACTGAAAACGTCGCCCTCGAGCTACAAACGAGAAGCAAGCGGAGTGCCCACGCGGGACGCCAGGCCCCACCGCGGACCAGGGGCTGCGCAGGCCTGCCTCGCAAGGCGGGAGGCGCTGCCGCAAGAGCAGGGGCGGGGTGCTGCCCTCCCCCTGGCGCGGCGGGCAGAGGACCCCGACTGGAAAGCATACAGTCGGGGCGTTGAACGTCTACGATAACCTATGAGCAGGCTGCCGCCCGCTCCCGATAGTCAGATTGAACCCGACTTGATGCGAGTGATACAGTCGGGGCGTTGACCTAAGGAACCCCAAATAACGAACGAGGCCCTTTGTTTTTCCAGAAGTGAAGCTTCGATTTGCCATTTGAGAACCTGAGGAAAGCCCCAGGCAAACGGTAAAGCAATCAGGGAACAGCGAGCCCCTCCCCAAACGAACGGGGTTCCTTCTTCAGCGCCCCGATTGCAGCGGGTTTCTGGGGAGCAGGCCTTCTCGAGGGCCCCTCGGCGCACCCGAAGGACGACGCCGGCTGCTGGCGCGCTCTGGCGTGCGCGCCGCGGTGCCTCAGGGAACCGCGGCGCCGCATCGGGACATTCCCCGCGGCGGCCCAGTGTGACGGTCACGGGGCAATTGCCACGCAATGCGCTCGGGAGAGAAGACGCTGCCACTGGTGTGCGGAGCGGTGGGCGCCGAAGTGCGCCTGGAGGTTGCCTTGGGGTGAAGCCACAGGCGAAGCGGTAGAGCGGACAGCCTGGTGAAGGTCATTCCAGGCGGCCTGCGCTCGGTGGAATTCGTCTAGCAGCGGAGCAACTTGCTTCTGCGTGGACAGGACGGTTTGAACAATGTTGTTGGCTCGCTGCTGCAGCACCGTGATGCTTGCGATGGAATGCCCGTGGTGTGCAGTCGCTCTGCCTACGACGGACCACGTGGTGTGGGAGTGTCAAGGAGCGGCGTTCCGGGACCGGCCTGGCGCTCGCCCCAAGGACGCTCTCCAGAGACGCCTGGGTTGGCCCACGGGCGAAGTACGACGGAAGGAGGTGGACTGGCGTTTGCTGTTGTGGGTGGCAGATCTCAGGGCGACAATATTGGATCACAAATGCGGTGGGGCTTGTCACAGGTATCATGTGCCGACGGGGACCTCTAGCCGCTATTTCGGTTTCACAGGTACGGTGGTGCTCGTCACGTGTATGTTTGTGCCGGCGAGGACCGCTTGCCGCTACTATGTATCACAGGTATGGCGGTGCTCGTCACGGGTTTCTTTCTACCTTTATCTTGGTTCACAGGCCCGGTGGTGCTCATCACGTGTATTTTTGTGCCGACGGGGACTTCTCATGTCAGTTGGTGTTTGTCACATGTATTCTTGCGCCGGCGGGTCCTTTCGTACCGTTGGGGGCCTGCTGCTGGTATGCTGGTTCGCAGGTACTTTGGTGTTCTTCACATGTCATTTGGCTGACGGGGACCTCTGGCTACAGGTACGGTTTTGTTGGCGGTTGATTGCTTTCGATCACAACTGTGGGTGTGAGGTTCAACGGTGCTCGTCACATCTGTGTTTGCGCCGACTGGGTTTCTAGCCCCTCTGTCCGTTCAGCCCCAAATCTCTTTGCTTGGGTTTCGTTCAGGCGAGGTCATCGTGAGGGCCTTCGTCTTTGTCAACGTACTTATTATGAGGCCGCGTGCGATGGGTGTGCCGAAATGTGGGCGGAACCGCGTGCGAACGCAGCTACTGGGATCTTCGGTGGAGCTCCCCATGAGGCCGCAAAACCTGTGAGGGGTGTGCCGAGATGGGGGTGGAACCGCATGCGAACGTAGTCATAGGGGCCTTGGCCGGAGCTCCCTATGTGACCACGAAACGTCTGTGGGGTGTGCTGGAGTGAGGGCGGAACCGCATGCGAATTGCGCCACTGGGGCCTTCGGCGGAGCTCCTTAATGGACCACGAAACGTGTGAGGGCTGTGCCGGAATGGGGGTGGAACGACATGCGAACTGCGCCACTGGGATCTTCGGTGGAGATCCCCATGGGGCCACGAAGCGCTGTACCGGGTGGGGTGGGGTGGGGAGGGGTGTGCATGCGAATTGTGCCGCTGGGGCCTTCGGTGGAGCTCCTTATGGGGCCATGAAGCGTTGTACTGTGTGGGGGAGACGCATGCGAACTGCGCCACTGGGACCTTCGGCGAGTCTTCCTATGTGGCCACGAAGCGCTGTTCTGGGTGTGGGAGACGCATGCGAACTGCGCCACTGGGGCCTTCGGTGGAGCTCTCTCTGGGGCCACGAAGTGCTGTGCTGGGTGGGGGGGAAGCATGCGAATTGCGCTACTGGGATCTTCGGTGGAGCTTCCTATGGGGCCACGAAACGTTGCGCTGGGCAGGTGGGACGCATGCGAACTGCGCCACTGGGACGGACCTTCCTTCGGTGGAGCTCCCTATGAGGCCATGAAAAATTGTACTGAGCGGGGGAGACGCATGCGAACTGCGCCACTGGGACCTTCGGTCCCTATGTGGCCACGAAACGTGGTGGGGGGGGGACGCATGCGAACTGCGCCACTGGGATCTTCGGTGGGGCTCCATCTGGGGCCACGAAACGCTGGACTGGGTGGGGGAGAGGCATGCGAACTGCGCCACTGGGACCTTCGGTGGAGCTCCCTATTTGGTCACGAAGCGCTGTACTGGGTGGGGGAGACGCATGCGAACTGCGCGACTGGGACCTTCGGTGGAGCTCCCTACGGGGCTACGAAACGCTGTACTGGGCGGGGGAGACGCAAGCGAATTGCGCCACTGGAACCTTCGGTGGGGCCCCCCATGAGGCCACGAAGCGCTGTAGGTGACGACTGCGTTGATGATGCTGATGCTGCTGATGATGCTGCTGCTGCTGCTGATGATGATGATGAGGAGTAGGATGTTGCTGCTGCTGCTGCTGCTGATGATGATGATGATGATGATGATACTGATGATGAAGATGATGATGCTGCTGATGATGAAGATGATGCTGAAGCTGCTGATGATGCTGATGATGCTGATGATGATGATGCTAATGATGATGCTGATAATGCTGATGATGATGATGATGATGATGATGATGATGATGATGATGATGATGATGATGAATATGATGATGCTGATCATGTGAGGAGGGGGGAGGGGGAGGAGGAGGAGGAGGAGGAGGAGGAGGAGGAGGAGGAGGAGGAGGAGGAGGAGGAGACGTGAGGAGAGGAGGAGAGGAACGCGGGGCGCTGAGTCTTCAAAACGAGGTCCCAAGACCACAGGATGGTAGGGAAACAGAAGAGAAGGAGGAGGAGGAGGAGGAGGAGGAGGAGGAGGAGGAGGAGGAGGAGGAGGAGCAGAAGGAAGAAGAGGAGGCGGAAGAGGAGGATGAGGAGCAGGAGCAGAAGGAGGACCAGTGTAAACCCAAGACTCATCAAACATGTTGGAATAAACATTCCCGCCGAGCTCCTGCAGATGCCCCAACTGCCTCGTTGGGAGACAACCTTTTTACGACCCTGAAGCGTGCCAAACACATTCTCGGGTTTCCAACGCAACGAGTCAACAGGACTGCTGCGTCTTGACGATCCAGAACCGCTCCAGAACGCCATTCCTGTGACTTCAACACCGCGAACCAACGTAACTGTCATACCCTCACAATCCTGAGTCCTTCCAAAACACTTCTGGCACGCTGACCATAGGAGTTCTTGAGACTTGTGCAAATGTTTGAGACGAGTGTGCGCGGTGCTAATGCGAGAGCCACATTTTGAAAAACAGCCGCCCTCAATCCGTGAAGCTCTTGCACATTTTTTTGACACGAAGGTGCGCGGCGCTAAGGCGAGATCCACATTTTGAAAGCGACCCGTCCTGAATCCGTGAAGCTCTTGCAGATTTTTATAACGTATGTGCGCGGCGCCAAGGCGACAGCCATATTTTGACCCTCCGCCTTCAATCCGTGAAACGTTGGCAATCAACAAGAAATGCGCAGTGCTAGGGCCAGAGCCGCATTTTTTTAACGATCCGTCCTCAATCCGTAAAGCTTTTGCAACTGTTTAAAACGAATGTTTGCGGAGCCAAGACGAAAGCTACAGAGCTACATTTTGAAAGCGACCCGCCCTCTATCTGTGAAGCTGTTGCCAATGTTTAAGCTTCAGGGTCGTGAGTAGTGGGTCTCAGGCGAAACGCCCGGCCCGCCCTTTCGACCGGCCTCGGGGTACGACATGGAGGAGCTATTTATAAGGAAAAGGAGTGGAAGCAGAAAAAGGGGAGAAGGAGGAGGAGGAGGAGGAGGAGGAGGAGGAGGAGGAGGAGGAGGAAAACGAAGAAGAAGATGAGGAGGAGGAGGAGGAGGAGCGCAGGCGGCCTTTAGACGGGATGCTGTCAAATCCTTGGGTCCAGAGGCGAATGTGGAGAGAAACCTGGAGTTCCCAGACCCCGAGTCCGTCGACACTTCCTCGGGTTTCAGGGTCTGGGCTTATCTTTGAGGCCTCTTGTGACCAATGTCTTCCCGCACGCCTGGAAGCAGTGGCTGAAGGCGCAGTGTTGGGGGTGGGTGGGAGGATGGCGCGTGCGATGGCGCTCGTGGTGGCAGGCGAGGTTGGCGTTGGGTACGGAAACCGACGGTATGTGGGCCTGACAAGAACAGGCAATGGCGTGGTTCCAAGCCTCCCAGATGGGGTCCGAATAGATGGGATCGGAGGATCGCGCCGCATCGCCGATACATCGGCGATTCGGCTCGATTCGGAACCCGATTTTCTCCACGCTGGCGTCGCCGATGCACCGCCGACGTCGCCGATGCATAGTTGATGCATCGGCGATGCGGCACGATCTTCCGACCCCATCTACTCGGACTTCGTCTACGGCCGGGAACTTTTGGATCTCGTGTCGCGCCGCCAGTTCTGGTCCACCACGCTGCGGCGCGACAGGCTATCCACTTCCAGGTCCCGAGGGGTCCACGTCCCGAGCCTCTCCCAGCCCCGCCCCTCCCGCCCCGCGGAGCGATGAGCGACGCGCTGTCCGTTTTGCAAGGCGCGGCGTGTCGCCGGGGCCGCCGCGGCGACACGCTAAGCAAAAGTTCCTGACCGTACAGGGTCCGGCTTGAACATGGAACACTTATTGTTCAAAAGGGGCTCGGTCGTTCCTTTGGTTTGCATGCGTTCTGCTACCTTTTTGGCGGCCAGCCCCCCCTGGTGTTCCTTCGGGCTTCCTGGACTTACTTGGGAAAAAAGGGGCTTCGTTCCTTATTTATCGTTCCTTAGGTTAGGCCGAATGCTGTATTCCCACCGCATCTGGGAGGCCTCTAATGTTGGCGGGGGGGGGAGGGGCGGAGGACGTCGAGTGCGGCGGCCGGCGCTAAGGGGGTGCGGGGCGCACTGGCGATCGCGGCCGCGCCAGGGCCGCGTGGGTGGGGCGGCGGCGCTCGAGCGGTGCTCAACCCTCACTAAGTCAAAACAGAGCCCAAAAACGCGAGGGCCAAGGCAAAATGCAGGCGCCTCGAGACTTCGGGGAGTGAGGGTTTGGGGTAGGGTTTTGCCAGGGCGACGACGACGAACGCAACACATATCCCGAAATCTTTGGCCGATCTTCGAATCCTCGGTGAATCCGCGATTTTGGGATTGGGGATGTGTTTTTTCGTGGTCAAGCCCGTGGCGGAGGAGGCCGAACCTCCGTGGGGCGGGTTTGGTCCGCTGATGGGTAGACCGGTCGGGATCGAAGGGGAGGGGGAGGGGGAGGAGGGGGAGGAGGAGGAGGACGAGGAGGAGGAGGAGGAGGAGGAGATGAGGAGAGGAGGGGGGGAGGAGGAGGGGGGGGGGAGGAGGAGGGAGGAGGAGGAGGAGGAGGAGGAGGAGGAGGAGGAGGGAGGAGGAGGAGGAGATGAGGAGGAGGGGGAGGGGGAGAAGGAGGAGGGGGAGGAGGAGGGGGAGGAGGAGGAGGAGGAGGGGGTCGATCGGACTTTTCTGCACCAAACCAATGGGAGGTTCGAAACCCAGCCGCCAAGTTCCACGCCTCGGGGGCGGAGCAGGATCCGGAAAATGCCATGGATCCGCTTGGGTCTGGGGAAGGTTGCTCCTCGGGCCTAGTCGTGGTCGTCGTCGTTCTTCCTTTTCTTCGCTCGTCATCATGCCCCCCCTCCAT